TGGAGCGGCTGGCGCGGGGCGAGGCCGGCGACGGCCCGGGGCTCGACGGCCTCCTGGATCTGCTGCTGGGGCTGCACCACGAGCTCAGCAGCGCCCCCCTGCGGCGGGAGCGCAACGTGGCACAGTTCCTGAGCTGGGGTGAGTGGCCCCGGCGGCACCGAGGGGGGCGGCTCCTGGGACACCGCGCGGGGACCTCCGCGCGCTCTACACCCACAGACCCTCCCTCAGGGACCGCACCCTTACAGCTTCCCCTGGCAGACTCCCCGCACTGGCTCTGACACGTGCCACCGGACCCCGCGGCCTGCTCAGTCACCTGCACACCTCAGCGGCTCAGATTCACGCACACCCTCGTTCCCACTCACAGACCCCGGCACATGTACAGAACACACCTCACACAGACACACAAACTTGTTCCCAGGTATAGACCCCAGCCGTGTGCGCCCAGTACACGTCCCCCCAGAGTCACGTGCAGGATTCCTCGCTCAGCATCACACCTCATGCCCCACGCAGAACACACACGCACATGCAGACCCCCCTGCAGACCATGCGCTGACACGCCTTTCTCAGTCTCCTTCATTCCTCACGGACACACCGGGACACTCACACAGCTCATGGAGAGACCCAGGGAGCCCTGCACTTTGCCCTGTAGACCACCCCAGCCACAATGCTGCACACTCGCAGATCCACAGGTGTTGCACAGTTGCAGACCGCCGCCCGCACATCCATTTCCTGGCATGCACAACCACCCCAGCCTGGACTCAGGAACCAATCTCAGCCCCCTTTTCTGTGCAAACTGCTGACTAGGCTTCCTAAGGGCTATTCCCCCAGGGCTGGGGAGGGGGGCCTGGCTGGAGGTGGGTCTGCACCCTTTCCTGGTTGACTCAGCACCGGGAGTGGTTGGCCCCGAGTGACCCTGAACCCACTGTGGGCACTGGCGCCAGCCTGAGGGTTCCCCGGTCACACCCGGCAGGGCCATGGGGGAAGAGCAGGGTGAGGCGGGTGTTTACCCAGTGGACGACTAGCGTTCCTGGCGCTCCTGAGCTCTGGGCGACTGGCGCCAGCCTGAGGGTTCCCCGGTCACACCCGGCAGGGCCATGGGGGAAGAGCAGGGTAAGGCGGGTGTTTACCCAGTGGACGACTAGCGTTCCTGGCGCTCCTGAGCTCTGGGCGGGCACAAGGCCCTGCCTGGCATGGTTGGGGGCCTGCCACCCAGACGTGCCAGCAAGTTGGCCCGTCCCCAGCTCTTCTGTCCAGGGTGAGGGCAGTCAGAAGGCCCTTGTCTCCCTGGGACTCCTGTATATTATTTATGTGTGTGTGTCTGACTGAATTGTCATCACCCACCCCCCCCATGACACCCACGCACACGTGTGTGTGTTTGCACACATGAGTGTACTCCTCCCTGCTTGCCTCTGGCACCTCTGCCAGGGACCCCAGCATGGGGGCCTGTCTGTTGACATCTCCCGAGGTAACTCAAAGGGTGGTGACTCACTTCCCTCCTGCCCCAACTTGTCCCTGCTCCTGCCTGGAGCCCCCATCCCCTGTGACAAGGCAAGAGGACTGGGCAGCCTGTCCTGGAGGCCTGGATCCTGCTGGCTGTGGGCCCCAGGCTTTGGCCCCTGTCTGGCTGGGGGTCACCACCCTGGCCTCGGTTCTCCCTTGGAGGCCTGTGGCTGCTCCTCCTCAGCTCCACACACAGACCTGGGAAAGAGACAATTAATTTCTGTAATGAGGTTTCCACACCACCCTTGCTGCGGGGGTTCTGCCTGATGAACCTGTGGAGCAGCTCTCTGTCCCACCCACAGACCCGCCCAGCTGGCAAGGAGTTTACCTCCTGGCAGGGGGAAACTGAGGCAGGGTGCCAGACCACAGCTGCCCCAATCCTGACTGGTCACTCCTGCCTCCCTAAGTTCCTACGATTAATGTCCTCCACCCAGCCTGTGGTTTTTCCAGGCCTGGGAAGGGCCCGGGAGCAGCTGGAGATGCCCTAATCTGATACCTCATGGAGGTATTGGGGACTGTGAGGAAGGAGGCGGTTCTTGGCTAGGCAAAGGCCTCGACCAGAGAGGAAGGCAGGGCTGAGAGTCATGGGGCTGGCCAGGCCTGGAGGGGATCCTGAGTGGTCACACCTGAGCACCAGGTAAAGAAGTTTTTGGCCTTGTTTTTGAGTCTTACGAGCACCTGTGCAGGCAGTATCTATGTCTCCAGACTGATGGGGCCCCACATGAGGAGCACAGATCCTGTCCTCCCAGAACCCTATGGGAACATTGTCCTTCCTGCCCTCCAGGGCTGTCCCAGGGCTCAACCCCAGCTAGGTACCTCTGTGCCTACAGGGTCCTCGGACCCAGGCCCACAGCTTGGTCCCACAGTTCCCGAATGGCAGAGAAGCTTCTCTGGGAACAAAGAATCTTGCCTGTCCAGTTTCCCAAGACAATCTCTGGTCTGGCCCATTAGGGGGCTAAGAACTGTGAGCTAGGAGTGGGAATGGTATCCCATGGTCCCCAGGGTGACCTGCCAGCCAGGGTCAGGCCCCAGGCTGGGGAAAACTACATGTCCCATCAACATCTGGGATGGAGGCTGCCTGGAGTCTGGGGACAGGGGCCCAGGTGGTCAGCTGAGCCAGGACCCTCACCTTCCATGCTTCCTGATCATGGCCAAATGGGCTCCAGATCCTATCAACCCCTTGGCTGGAAGCTGTCTCTGGGGAGGTCATCTGTTCCCTGGCCTCATGGGAGTTGCAGCTCCTGGCTTCCCCAAGGTGAGGGAGGGAGCTGGGGCCCTTTCTGCAAGTGTGCTGAGCCCCACTCTATGTCCCCTCAGCCAGCCCCTTCGTAACAAAGATGAAGGAGCTGCGTCTGCAGAGAGATGACTTTGAGATCCTGAAGGTGATCGGCCGAGGGGCCTTTGGGGAGGTGAGCAAAGGGCCTGGGATAGGTGGGGAGGAGGCGGTCACACCTGGGCTGGGCTGACTCATTCTCCCTGTGGCGTCAGGTTGCTGTGGTGAGGCAGAGGGACAGTGGGCAGATTTTTGCCATGAAAATGCTGCACAAATGGGAGATGCTGAAGAGGGCCGAGGTCAGTTTGGGGTCTGGTGGGACTTTGGCACCCTGCAGGTGGAGTGGGGGTGGGTGTGTACTGCCATCGAGGCCCACAGGGCATCTGGGGGAAAGTGTGGGCATGGCTGCTGACCAGCCAAGGATGCCACCCTCAGCAGTTGCCAATCTCCTATCCCTTTCTCACAATAAGCCTTTCCAAAAGGCAGGCAGGGCTGGCCTGTGGCTCAGTCGGGAGAGTGTGGTGCTGGTAACACCAAGGCCACGGGTTCGGATCCTATATAGGGATGGCCGGTTTGCTCACTGGCTGAGCGTGGTGCTGACAACACCAAGCCAAGGGTTAAGATCCCCTTACCGGTCATCTTTAAAAACAACAACAACAACAACAACAACAACAAAAAACCAAAAGGCAGGCAGAGTTGTTCCCATTTTCCTTATGGTAACACTGAGACCCAGAGCCATAAAGCACAGGCTCCGGCTCATCCAAGGTCAGCCTGGGGTGGGGCAGAGCTGTGACTTTGATGTGGGCTCCTAGGCTTACTTAGTCTTTCTCCATCCCCTGAGCTGGCAAGGGGGGTTTCCTGGGCTCTGAACCCACCCACCCTCTGCCCCCCCCAAACCTGCTGCAGACGGCCTGTTTCCGGGAGGAGCGGGACGTCCTCGTGAAGGGGGACAGCCGTTGGGTGACTGCTTTGCACTATGCCTTCCAAGATGAGGAGTACCTGGTGAGGCTACTTGGCGGGGTTGGAGGGGGGCTGCCTGGGGACAGAGGAGAAGGCCCTTGGGGCCAGGGGTGCTGGGTCCAAAGAGAGAGAGAGACCTCTCCTGCTGGTACCAAGAGGCTTCCACTTCCCACCAGCTCCCACGCCTGAGCTCTGGCTGGGAGCTGGCCACTCCAGAGCTGCTGGGAGACACAGCCCTGTTTTCCCAGAACCCCACAGGACCACTGTGAGGTGGGCAGGTGCCCCTGTCCCCAGTCTGATTCTAGTCCCCTTCCCACCACACCCAGTACCTGGTGATGGACTACTATGCTGGTGGGGACCTGCTCACGCTGCTGAGCCGCTTCGAGGACCGCCTCCCGCCCGAGCTGGCCCAGTTCTACCTGGCAGAGATGGTGCTGGCCATCCACTCGCTGCACCAGCTGGGCTATGTCCACAGGTGGGCCCCAGCCCCCGCTGCCCTGTTCAGCCCCTGCTGGCTGCTCTGGGGATAGCTAAGGTTTGCTGAGCACTCATCCTGTGCCAAACCCCAAGTTGGGTGCTTCATACATGGGATTCCTTTGAATGCTCACGCCAAACAACCTTATGTGGCGGGAGCTACTGCCATCCCCAGTTTGCGGTTGTAGAAGTCAGAGCATAGCACAGGTAAGCACCTGGCTCACGGTCACTCAGCTCGTGGGTGGCTGAGTCCTGGTCTGCACTACGAAAGTCTGACTCCTGTACCCCCCTCAGTACTCCCTGCTGCCTCCGAGGGCATCCTTGTGGGTCCTTTTCCCCAATCTCGCCCCCTTCTTTCTGCTGGCCGTCAGCCTTCTCTCCGTCCCACATGAGTGTGCACACATTGCTCACATGTACACAGGAACACGTGTGAGTGCACACACACACATCCCAGTGTTTGCACACGCCTGTGCACATGCAGCTGGGCATGTACCTAAACACACCTCCACACACGCAGGTCAAGCCCTTCACTCTCCCTGTCCCTCCCCAGGGATGTCAAGCCGGACAATGTCCTGTTGGACATGAATGGGCACATCCGCCTGGCTGACTTTGGCTCCTGCCTGCGTCTCAACAGCAGTGGAATGGTAAGGACCCCGCCTTACAGGGGACACTGGGAGGGCCGAGCTCTCAGGGAATGGGAGGCACCCAGCCTGGTGTAGGGGCGTCAGTCTCCAGGGGTAAAAAGGGCTGGGCCCAGGCCCTCAGTGGGGCACCAGGCCAGCTGAGCCTGGGGGCTGGGGGTGCCAGCTCAGGGGCTGCAGTGTGCAGGGTCAGCAGGCCCAGCCGAGCTCAAAGCTGTCCTCATGGTATCATCAACACCACCACCCACAGGTGGATTCGTCGGTGGCAGTAGGGACACCAGACTATATCTCTCCTGAGATCCTGCAGGCCATGGAGGAGGGCAAGGGCCACTACGGCCCACAGTGTGACTGGTGGTCGCTGGGAGTCTGTGCCTATGAGCTGCTCTTTGGGGAGACGCCCTTCTATGCTGAATCCCTGGTGGAAACCTATGGCAAGATCATGAACCATGAGGTCTGGAAGGGGTTTCAGGAAGGGCAGTGGTTGGAGTCCATGTGGTTGGAGATGCCTTCAGGCAAGCATGGGATCCTGGACACTTGACCCAGCCTGACCCCCCTGACCCCTCCCTGGCTCGCAGGACCACCTGCAGTTCCCCCCGGATGTGCCTGAGGTGCCAGCCAGTGCCCGAGACCTGATCCGCCAGCTGCTGTGCCGCCAGGAGGAGCGGCTGGGCCGCGGCGGGCTGGATGACTTCCGGAACCACCCCTTCTTTGAAGGCGTGGACTGGGAGAGACTGGCAACCAGCAGTGCCCCCTATATCCCTGAGCTTCGCGGGCCCGTGGACACCTCCAACTTCGACGTTGATGATGACACCCTCAACCATCCAGTGAGTGGTGGATGCCACTGCAGGAGGGGAGCTGCCCTGCCACTTGCTGGCTGAGGGAACCCCCAGAAGTTCCTTAGAGCAGTTGCTGGGCTGTGGGTGAGGCCTTTGGACCCCAGGACCTCATGAGAGTTACGGTTCACCTGGGCCGGTTCTCCTGCACCGAGGTGGGTTGTGCCAAGTGAAAGTCTTTTGATCCCAGGTGTCATCCTCTTAACCAGAATTCATGTAAGGAAGAAAACTCCCAGAAGCCCCTGAGGCTAGAACCTCAAGGGTACGTGGGAGCCGTGGTCCATTTTGGTCAGGGCCACATTATCCCCCTAGTTCCCATCTGATCAAGGGGAGGTTGTCATGCCAGGTCCCAGGGGTCTCCTGGTTGTCAAGCCTCAGCCTGGACTGTGCCTGTTGACTCTGTGACTCTCCTTCTCTCTTCTGCAGGGGACCCTGCCGCCACCCTCCCATGGAGCCTTCTCAGGCCACCACCTGCCATTTGTGGGCTTCACCTATACCTCTGGCAGGTGGGTCTAGCCCTTACATAGCTGGTGGGAAGCTGGAGGCATAGCCCATCAGGACTCCAGAAAAGAGGGCAGCGACCCAGCAGCTGTATGTGACAGGTTCTCTGAGCCCTCAGGTCCTTAGGCTCCTGGTAAAGCCACACCTGTGCCCCTCCAGGCCCATCCCAGTATGTGGCTGTCACAGTGCTCTCCACAGCAGCTGGAGAATGCACTGGACTCAGAGCCAGAGGCCTGGAGTTTGAAGGGCCCTACTGTTCCTGAGCCTCACCCTGTGCCTCTGCAAAATGGGCAGGATGACCTCCATCCAGTCCCATACGAAGGGCCAGCCTGAGAGCACAGTGAGCTCATAGTGAGGAATGCTCAGAGACAAGAGGAGAGCTGAACAGCACTCCCCGAGGGCCCGCTGTGTGCCAGGCACGGGGCCCATGGCTCATCTCACCAAGACCTCTTGACAGCCCTTGGAAGGGGCCCTTTTATCACCTCATTTTCCTGTGAGGAAACTGAGGCTCAGTTATGTTAGGTGACTGTTCAAGGTCATGCAGCTTGTAAGGGCCTGGACTAGGGCTTGAGCCTGGGCCTGGGGACTCTAAAGCCTGTGTCCTGGAGCCACTACTGCCTGTGGCACCAACCTGGGGTCTCCTGAGGGCAGGGCCTGGCCTGGTTGTTCCTTGGATGAATGAATGATTGGATGGAGAGGCTTTGGGGGTGGGGTTTTTGCCAATGGGTGTTGTCCCTGCCCTCCCTTAGCTCCGGTCCTGACAGCAACTCTGAGCTGTCGGCTGCTCTGGAATGGAAGCTTCGCTGCATGGAGCAGGAGAAGGTGGAGTTGAGCTGGAAGCACCGAGGTGTGGGGGAGCAGCTGGCAAGGGTTGGGGGCTAGCCCTGGGGCTACTGCTGCAGGACTAGCTACTCACTTGGGGTTGCCACCTCCCCTCCAGAGGCCCTGAGCAGCCCCACAGACCATCAGGAGCTGGAGCAGCTGCGGAAGGAAGTGCAGACTCTACAGGAGAGGCTGTCAGGTATTGCCCGCCACGCCCACCCTGCAGTCCGAGCGGCTTTCCCAGCACATGGGTATTCCCACCTGGGTTCCAGTCCTGCCCCTGCTCTGTATTCTATGTGATCTTATGGGAGTATCTTAAACTCTCTGAGCCTGCACGTGGAAAATGGGCCAAGGAGATTCACCTCCCAGGCTGTGGAGAAGGTTACTGAGGTGCTGCATGTAGAGTACCTGGCTGAGACTGGGGCTGTCAGTATGTGCAGATCTTAGTGACTATTTCTGGCAGAGACGCTGATGGACAGCAAGACACCCTTGTCCCAGATGGCTGGGCCCCATGCTGGTAGCCCAGGCCAGGACAGTAACCTACATCAGGAGAAAGACCGGCTCCACCAGGTGAGGGCCTGGCGAGGCAGGTGGGTGGCCCAGGCCTTCATGCGACAGAGGTCCATGCCCTGACTCTGGGCTTACCCTTCCCACCCCCCTGACTCCCCAGGAGCTGGCCGAGGCTCAGGCACGGCTGCAGGCTCAGGAGCAGGAGCTATGCAGAGCCCAGAGGAGGCAGGAGGAGCTGCTCCAGAGGCTGCAGGAGGCCCAGGAGAGAGAGGCAGCCACAGCCAGCCAGACCCAGGCCCTGAGCTCCCAGCTGGAGGAAGCCCGGGATGCCCGCAGGGAGGTGGGTGACAGAGGTGGGGGTGGGGACAGCGGCTGGGCCCTTCCCATGTTACCCACATCGTGGCTGGAGGAAGCCTGGGGAGGTTGGCACAAGGTGCTGGGAATACCACCTGCCTTAGTACCTCCCAGTGTGACTGGCAGAGGCTGAGCCAGGGATGGTGATTGGGACAGGACGGTCTGGGAGTCCACTGCCTCTTCACACCAGCTGTTGGGGGCAGAGCTGAGACTTTCTAGTAAAGTGGGGCAGAGGGGTTGGGGGGCCAAGTCAGCATTGGCCTGCCTCTGCACCCCATCACAGCTGGAGGCCCAGGCAGCCACCTTGAGCCGGGAGGTGACACGGCTGCAGGGACAGTGTGAGCGAAACCTTCCAGAGTCTTCTCCGGTCAAGGTAGTGAGGTCTTACCCCTTTGGCAAGAGGTACTTCCTCCTTTGGCCTGACTCCTACTCAGGGCCTCAGGGACAGGCCTGTGTCCTGGGGGGGTGGGCCATGGCCTTTCGGGCCCTTGCCCTGACCCTGTCCATGTTCTTAAGACCATCCACACAGCCTCTGAGACTAATGGCACGGGACCGACTGAGGGTGAACTGAGGAAGGAGGTGGCCACCCTGCGTGAGCAGCTGGAGCGGGCCCGCAGCCATGAGTGAGTGGGCAGCCGGGGGTGGTGGGGAGGGGCAGGGCAAGAGCCCGGGCTGGGAGTCACCATCTTGGCCTTCTCCTCCCCAGGCCGAGTGGGAAGGAGGCTCTGTGCCGGCTACAGGAGGAGAACCAGCGGCTGAGCCGGGAGCAGGAGCGGGTAAGCAGGGTGGACGGGGACAGGACAGACAGACAGACAAGGGCTGGAGGTGGGGAGTGGTAAGGTGGGTGGGCGGGCAGAGCATCCAGGGTCCCAGCTGGAGGGCAAGCTGTGGCAGGTGAGCAGGGGTGGACACAGACGAGGCTCAGGGCTGCCAGGCCCCCTGGGGACTGACCCTCCTTCCTGCTGGCCCGCAGCTGGCAGAAGAACTGGAGCAGGAGCAGCAGAGCAAGCAGCAGCTGGAGGGCGAGCGGCGGGAGACGGAGAGCAACTGGGAGGCCCAGATTGCCGACATCCTCAGCTGGTGGGTGCCCGTGGCCAGGGGTGGGGCCCAAGTGGGGCTGTGGGCCCTGCCCATGACCCCGAGCCCCCTTCCAATCAGGGTGAATGATGAGAAGGTCTCCAGAGGTTACCTGCAGGCCCTGGCCACCAAGATGGCTGAGGAGCTGGAGTCCTTGCGGAACGTGGGCACCCAGACACTCCCTTCCCGGCCACTGGTGAGCCTCAGAGACACCCTGGGAGGTTGGGGGGTGCCATAGCCTCATTCTACAGGTGGGGACACTGAGTTCATGGAAGGTCAGTGACTTACCTCTGCTCACAGCAGCTCATTAGCAGAGCTAGGGCTTTGAGCCTGGCCAGGTGGCATGGGCAGCTGCGCTTGGTGGGAGGGGACCTCTGAGGCAGCCTTGCCCAGATGGCACCTTACGTGGGTGCCCTATGGCCACCAGGACCACCAGTGGAAGGCACGGCGGCTGCAGAAGATGGAGGCCTCAGCTAGGCTGGAGCTGCAGTCAGCGCTGGAGGCTGAGATCCGTGCCAAGCAGGGCCTGCAGGAGCGGCTGGCGCAGGTGCAGGAGGCCCAGCTGCAGGCTGAGCGGTGAGCCCGGGGGGCAGGCGCTGCAGGGGCCGGGGCTGCGCAGAGGCCTGTGATGAGCTTGTGCCCTTTCTCCCCCAGCCGTCTGCAGGAGGCCGAGAAGCAGAGCCAGGCCCTGCAGCAGGAGCTGGCTGTGCTGCGGGAGGAGCTGCGGGCCCGTGGGCCGGGGGGTGAGTGCTCCACATGCCTGTCCTTGGGCCAGTCCCCACGCCAGCCTCATGGCTACCTAGGGGCTCCCACGACAGCTTTGCAGGGCTGTGGAGACAGGAGCCTATTCCCAGACTCTGATGCTTGCCTCACCATTGGTTACTGATTTACTGAGCACCTGCTGTGTGCCAGCCCAAGCCCTGCTGGCCCCTGGTTCCTCAGGCCAGGTCCACCCCTCCCCCAGTGACCCACACCCTTTGTTTGCAGACACCAAGCCCTCAAACTCCCTGATTCCCTTCCTGTCCTTCTGGACCTCAGAGGTAAGAGCCAGGTGGAGCGACTTGTTGGAGAGAACTGGGGAGAGGCGCCGGCACCTTGACTTTGTCCCTCCTTCTCCCATCCCCAGAAGGATTCTGCCAAGGACCCTGGTATCTCAGCGGAGGCCCCAAGGCCTGGGGTGGAGCCAGAACTGAGGCCGGAGGGCCGCCGCAGCCTGCGCATGGGGGTGAGGACAGGCGGGGTCCCCAGCTGGGGGCTGGCCCCCTCTGCGTCACGCCCTTCTCATCTGCTGGCTTGCTCTCCACAGGCCGTGTTCCCCAGAGTGCTCACTGCCGCCGCTGCCCCTGCAGAAGCTCCTCCTGCTAAGGTCAGCGCCCAGAAGGGTGGAATGGGGTGGGGGACAAGCCATTCTGCTGGTCTCCGCAGACCTGGTTGGTTCCCTCCACGAGCCTCATGGCTGGCAGACTGCATTTGGGGCGGTGGCAGTGGCCATGAGTTTGACTGCTGTCATAGACTGGTTGGAGCCCAGCGTTCGCGTTGCCACCTGGCTCAGCCCCTTGTCCCACCTGGCCCCTCTGGAATGCGGCATGGGACCCTGGGAGGCTGTGGGCCAGCGTGGGTAATGGCTTGTCTCCATCCTCAGCCTGGCTCACACACGCTGCGCCCCCGGAGCTTCCCGTCCCCCACCAAGTGTCTCCGCTGCACCTCGCTGATGCTGGGCCTGGGCCGCCAGGGGCTGGGCTGTGATGGTGAGAATCCCCACACACACCCCTACCTCTGATTTTCTGGGCACAGCCCCCAGGTGTGTGACCCTGACACCCTGGCTTTTCTCTCAACCCAGGGTCACTGGCACCTCCTGGTCAAATTTCCCACTGCTCAGTTTTTATTTTTCTTTCTCGCTTGATGGGGAAGTGGTGACATTTCAGGTGCCACCATAGCTCAGGGAAGCTGCAGCTGGGAATGCTGTCCCCTCCCAGCCTCACACCATCCACCTTCTCCTGCTTTCCCCACAGCCTGCGGCTACTTCTGTCACTCAACCTGTGCCCCACAGGCCCCACCCTGCCCTGTGCCCCCTGATCTCCTTCGCAGTGCCCTGGGAGTGCACCCTGAAACAGGCACGGGCACCGCCTACGAGGGCTTCCTGGCGGTGAGCTGGGGCTGGGGGCTGGGGGTGCCAGGCCCAGGGTGAGGGTCTGTGCAGGGACTCTCACGCTGCCTTCCCCCAGGTGCCACGGCCCTCGGGTGTCCGGCGGGGCTGGCAGCGGGTGTTTGCTGCCCTCAGCGACTCGCGCCTGCTGCTGTTTGATGCTCCAGAGCCGCGGCTCAGCCCAGCCAGCGGGGCCCTCCTGCAGGCGCTGGATCTGAGGTGGGTGCTGGGCAGTGGCAAGGGACTAGTGGGGCAGCCAGAGCCGGTGTGATCTCTGACCTGCTCCATGGACCTCCCAGGGACCCCCAGTTCTCCGCCACTTCCGTCCTGGCCTCTGATGTTATCCATGCCCAATCCAGGGACCTACCACGCATCTTTAGGGTGAGTGCCTAGGGCACGATGGACTATCCACCTTTCCATGCTGTCCCCACTCTGGCCCCTGTTCTCCCTCACCACGGCTGCCCTCCTCAGCCGGTCCCTCGCCTCCACGTGGACGGCCGCAGTAGCCTCCAGCCTGCAGCCACAACAGACTTTCCACATGTGAATCTGCCCATGTCCTGCCTTGTTTAGGACCCTTCTGTGGCTGCCCACTGCCCTCGGGGTGCTCCTGACCGAGGACTTGAGGCCCCTGGATCTGGCCCTGCAGGCCTCCCCGGCCCTCTCCCCTCTGCCTCTCTGCTCTGGCCACACCTTACTTTCTCCAGTAACAAGAGTGCCCTGCACCCCATGTGCACCTCATGCTTGGTCCTTCTCATTCTGTCCCCCTGCACAGAACGCCAGCCCCTGCCGGTCCCCAGCCCCTCACCCACCCCCCTTGACCAACTCATGGGTAGTCATCCCTCAGGCTCCAGCAGAAATGTCTTGTCCCCTGGGTGGTGGTTCTTCACCTCTTGGCCTGGGTTAGGGGACCTACCCTGTGTTCCCACAGTGCCTATCCTTCCCCTATTATGGCTGATCACAGGGCTCTGGAATTATCTGTGTCTTGCTCTGGCCACCCTGTCTGGCTTGTCCCTTGCTGTAGACAGTGCCTAACCCTGCACCTGGCAAGCACACAGTCCGTGTTTATCGACATCAGCTGGTAGAGAAGGGAAGGGAGGAAGGTGGATAGCTCTCAGCCATGGCCTCCAGCCTGTGTCCCTGCCTGTAGGTGACAGCTTCCCAGCTGACAGTGCCACCAACCATGTGCAGTGTGCTGCTGCTGGCAGAAAACGAGGGGGAGCGGGAGCGCTGGCTACAGGTGCTGGGTGAGCTGCAGCGGCTGCTGCTGGCTGCACGACCGAGGCCCCTGCCCGTGTATACACTCAAGGAGGCCTTTGACAACGGACTACCACTGCTGCCCCGTGCACTCTGCGCTGCCATCATCGGTGAGCTAAGGGCACCACCTTGGGCAGGCATTGAGGTGAAGTAGGGGTGGTGCTGGCCCAGGCACAGTCACAAGGCCACTGTCACTGACCATTCCCTGCAGCCATGGGCTGTGGACTCTGCCTTGCACATGAGTCCTCTTGACCCCGCTCTGTGCATGGCTGTGTGAAGGGTCCTGGGCCAGGGCAGGGGCCTGGCTTCTCACCGCTCCATGTTTTTGTGCCTCAGTCTTGGCTTTTCCTAGAGGAATCTCAGGTGAGCGGAAGGAACCATAGCTTTAGAAAGACAAACAAGGAATTTGGTTGTGGCTGTCTTCCTAGCAGCTGGGTGACTGTGGGGGAGCTGTGGAACCCCCCGGAGCCTCACAGCATCTCATGTTTGGAGCTGCCATGAGGTGCACTTGTGTGTGGCCGGGAGTCTGGGTCTCAGCAGGGCCCCTCCATAACTGGGAAAGAGGCGGGAAGCAGAGCTTCCCCAGCAGCCCCTGCCCTGGGGTGTTGGGACCTCTCCCTGTAGTCCCTGGGGATAGGGGCCACAGGAGAGATGCACGGGTCCCCAGGCCAGCTGAGAGCCACAGGAGATAAGGGCATTATGGAGTAAGGGGCTCTGCTTCATACTCGCCCAGCACTGCTTCCTCTCCTGCTCACAGCCACTCTGTGAGAAACAGACCATCATCAGCCCCAGTTTACATAAGGGGAAACCGAGGCTCTGAGACGTGACGTGACATACGCCAAATCCCACAGCTCGAGGTGGTGGGCCCCCACAGCCATCCTCCCATGAGAGCCAGTCCAGACTGTGGGGGAGAAGAGTCCAGTGATGCAGGGACAAGGGACAGTGGGATTATTACTACCTCCATTTCCTCAAGAGAAACTGAGGCCCAGCAAGGGCAGGAGACTGCCAGTCTCTCCATCACTGGATGGGCCCTCTGACCCCTGACCCTCTCCCTTCCTCTACCAGACCAGGAACGGCTTGCTCTGGGCACTGAGGAGGGGCTGTTTGTGATCCATCTGCACAGCAACGGTACATGCCAAGGCTGGGCCAGGGTGGGGTCAGCTCCAGGGGACAGAGGAGGATGAGGACTGGGCTGTTCCTCACCCACCTGCTGGTGACACTCCCCTTGCCAACCCCACAGACATCTTCCAGGTGGGGGAGTGCCGGCGGGTGCAGCGGCTGGCTGTGAGCTCCACTGCAGGCCTGCTGGTTGTGCTGTGCGGCCGTGGCCCCAGTGTGCGCCTCTTCACCCTGGCCGACCTGGAGAGTGTGGAGGCAGTGGGCACCAAGATCCCTGAGTCTCGAGGCTGCCAGGCACTGGCAGCCGGGCGCATCCTGCAGGCCCGCACCCCCGTGCTCTGTATAGCTGTCAAGCGCCAAGTGCTGTGCTACCAGCTAGGCCCAGGTCCTGGGCCCTGGCAGCACCGCATCCGTGAGCTGCAGGCACCCGCACCTGTTCAGAGCCTGGGGCTGCTGGGTGACCGGCTGTGTGTGGGTGCTGCTGGTGCCTTCACACTCTACCCACTGCTCAACGAGGCTGCGCCCTTAGCACTGGGGGCCGGTCTGGTGCCTGAGGAGCTGCCACCGTCCCGTGGGGGCCTGGGAGAGGCGCTCGGCACTGTGGAGCTCAGCCTCAGTGAATTCCTGCTGCTCTTCACCACTGCCGGAGTCTACGTGGATGGTGCTGGCCGCAAATCTCGTGGCCATGAGCTGCTGTGGCCAGCAGCGCCCACAGGCTGGGGTAAGGCCTGCGGAGGCCTGGCGCCTTTGCTGTTTTGGAGGAAAATGGGATTCTACCCAAACTCCTAGGTTTGGCATTGGAGGCTCTGCACACCCTGGCCTACCCTTGGTGGCTCATGTGGGATCTGCCTCTTCCATGCCTTAGCGCATGCCCTTCCGCCTGCTGAGCTGCTCTCCTTCCTTTTGTACCTGACAAACTCCAAGTCCGGCTCCAATACTGGCTTGGTCCTGGACCTGGTAGGCACTCGGTAAATGACCACCATGATTGCTGTCATTGTTATTACTGCCTTCATGCTCCCTGTCCTGTCCTCTGCCATTATGGTCCTTCGCTTCTCTTTGTTCAAATCTCTTTCCTGGCTCATAGCACTTCCTACTTTATGACATGTTTGGTGCACTGGGAGCCTGCACAATGGGCTGGGGTTGGTTTCTTCATCCATGTCCAGCACCCAGCCCAGGCAAGCATACTCCAGGGACTATGAATGCTTGGAAGAATGAATGAATGAATGAATGGATGAGACAGTGGGGCAGTCTGGGGCACTTAAGTAACTGGTGTGATGGCAGGCTAAAGGCTGGAAGAGAGGAACAGAGCTTCCTTCATGTGCGATGGCTCTTCTGGGGTGGGGCCTGTGGGTTGTGTGTAGCACAGACATTCAGCATTGTAGGCATCGGACCCAGACTGCCAGGGGCCAAATCCCAGCTGTCGTTCACCAGCTGGGTGACCTCGGCCATTACTTAGCTCTGGGGTTTCCATTCCCTCATCTGTAAATTAGGGGTGATTATAGAACCTGCTCAGAGTTGTTTGAGAATTAAGGGATAAAAAACATGTCTAGTGTTTAGAACTGTGCCAGGCATGTAGTGAGCGCTCCATGGTTGTTATCTCTAATTTGTTATGGAGGTTGGCTGGGACAAGGGGAGAGTCTTCGGAGGAAGGGCCTTTGCATGAGGTGTGGGCACAGGGTGTTCCCCATGGTACAGAGGAGGAAACAAGCTCAAGGCCTGGCCTGTTAGCTCAGTTGGTTAGAGGGCGATGTTATAACACCATGGTCAAGGGTTCGGATGCCCGTGCCGGCCAGCCGTGGAAATAAAGGAAACAAGCTCAGAGAGGTGCCTGACATGCCAGGGGCTGCACAGCACAGGCAGTTTCCCGCCTGCAGGTTACGCAGCCCCCTACCTGACAGTGTTCAGCGACAATTCCATCGAGGTGTTTGACGTGAGGAGAGCAGAGTGGGTCCAGACTGTGCCGCTCAAGAAGGTGAGGGCCTGCCCAGGCCCCAGCGCTGCAGTGGGGTGGGGTTGGCTGGCATGGCCTGACCTCTGTGCCCGCTGCCTCAGGTGCGGCCCCTGAATCCAGAGGGTTCCCTGTTCCTCTACGGCACCGAGAAGGTCCGCCTGACCTACCTCAGGAACCGGCTGGCAGGTGAGGGAGCGTGCGCGTGGGTGTGTGCACACGTGTGCGCGTTCCCCTGTGCTCATGTGTGGGTGTGTGTCTCTGAGCGCCAGCGGACTGGGGCCTTGGGGACTTGTGAGCACCGCCCAGCTCTGTGTTTCTCCCACAGAGAAGGACGAGTTCGACATCCCCGACCTCACCGACAACAGCCGGCGCCAGCTGTTCCGCACCAACAGCAAGCGCCGCTTCTCCTTCCGCGTGTCGGAGGAGCAGCAGAAGCAGCAGCGCAGGTGCGCGTGCGCGGTGCCGCGGCGGGGCGGGGCCTCCTGCCCTTGGGGGCG